TACCTGGGGCTTGAAACCCTCAGTGGGACAAGAAATCTCAGACCCCACTCCTAACCCTTTCCCCACCTGAGCTCTTCTTCCTCCACATCACAACAGCGACCACAGCTCCAGTGACTACAACTCCAAGGACAACCAGGCCAGCAACGATGCCCACGATGGGGATGGTGGGCTGGGAAGATGGCTCTGGGAAAGGAGGGGAAGGTGAGGGGCCCTGATCCCAGGTCCCAGCCCCCAGCCCCAACCCAGCTAAAGGTCTCCAGAGAGGCTCCTGCTTTCCCTAAGAGACATGACCCCCCCATCCCCTCCTTACCCATCCCCCTCCTTACCCCATCTCAGGGTGAGGGGCTCAGGCAGCCCCTCGTGCTGCACATGGCATGTGTATCTCTGCTCCTCTCCAGAAGGCACCACCACAGCCCCCCACTTCTGGAAGTTTCCATCCCCTGCAGGCCTGGTTTCTATGAGCTCCATGTCCTGGGTCTGGTCCTCCCCATCCCGCTGCCAGGTCAGTGTGATCTCCGCAGGGTAGAAGCCCAGGGCCCAGCACCTCAGGGTGGCCTCATGGTCAGAGATGGGGTGGTGGGTCACCTGTGTCTTGGGGGGCTCTGAAGGGAAGAGTCAGAAAATTCGGACATCTTGCATCTCTCATGGGACACTGCTGCAGCACCCATGTGACCATCCTGATAATGGACAGGACACCTGGGGTGGGGAAGGGAGTGCAGAACCCAGACACCAGCCTGGACACAGGCACCTGGGATAGTGTCCTGTTCCTTGGAAAGTTCTAGTCTCTGAATGGGGAACAGGGACTTCTGGTCCTGATCTGAGTGGAGGCCAAGGGACTCAGAGGAGCTGGAGTCAGAACCCCGCACACATTGAGTGTGAGGCAGAGGACAAGGCAGGAGAGAAAAAATCCTGGTGCCCAACGCTGCTGTGGGGTCACAGGAACCCCTGATCAGTATTCCAGGGATTGACTTCCCCTCCTTTCCCTCAGAGACTGCAACCCTTAATGGTATCAGAGAACAGGGCAGGCCTTCAGACTCACTGTCTGGTACAGGATCTGGAAACCCAGGAGGATTCCTCTCCCTCAGGACCGGAGGGAGGGAGATATCCTAGTGTTGGTCCCATTTTCCTCCCCTCCTTCTGCAAGGCCAGCCTGGGAGGTCTACAGGCGATCAGGGAGGTGCCCCCGGGCCCTCGTACCCGCGCGCTGCAGCGTCTCCTTCCCGTTCTCCAGGTATCTGTGGAGCCACTCCACGCACGTGCCCTCCAGGTAGGCTCTCATCCCCTCAGCCGCATTGGCCGCCTCCCACTTGCGCTGGGTGATCTGAGACGCCGTGTCCGCAGCGGTCCAGGAGCGCAGGTCCTCGTTCAGGGCGATGTAGTCCTTGCCGTCGTAGGCGTACTGGTGATACCCGCGGAGGAGGCGCCCCTCAGGCCCCACGTCGCAGCCATACATCCTCTGGATCGTGTGAGACCCTGGCCCCGCCCCCGCGTCAGCCCCGCCCATTTTCAGTTTGGGCAAAAGTCCCCGTCCCCGCCCCACCAACACGCGGGGATTTTGGCCTAAACTGAAAATGAAACCGGGTAAAGGCGCCCGAGTTTCTCCCGGGTCGAGGGTCTGGGCGGGTCCTGCAGCCCCGGGGTGGATCTTTGACCCGGAGACTCGGGGCGACCCGGGCCGTCCGTGGGGAATGGGGAGGGGTCGTGACCTGCGAACCCGGCCGGCGTCACTCACCGGCCTCGCTCTGGTTGTAGTAGCCGCGCAGGTTCCGCAGGTTCACTCGGTCTTGCTGTGCGGTGTCCTTGTAGATCCGTGTGTTCCGGTCCCAATACTCCGGCCCCTCCTGCTCCACCCACGGCGCCCGCGGCTCTTCTCTCGGGATCGCGGCGTCGCTGTCGAACCGCACGAACTGCGTGTCGTCCACGTAGCCCACGGAGATGAAGCGGGGCTCCCCGCGGCCGGGCCGGGACACGGAGGTGTAGAAATACCTCATGGAGTGGGAGCCTGGGGGCGAGGAGGGGTGAGACCCGCCGGACCCTCCTCCCAGCACCGCTTCCCGGGTCCTGCGTCCCCGCCGGGCGGCCCCTCGCTCCTCCCCGCAGAGGCCTTTTCCCTCCCGACCCCGCACTCACCCGCCCAGGTCTCTGTCAGGGCCAGGGCCCCCGAGAGCAGCAGGAGGAGGGTGCGGGGCGACATGACCGCCATCCTCGGTGTCTGGGGAGAATCTGAGTCCTGGTGGGTGACTGGGGACTTTAGAACCGGGACCGCGGCGACGCTGATTGGCTTCTCTAGAAACCCGGCACCCAATGGGAGTAGGAACTGGGTCCGCGTCGTGAGTATCCAGGAAGAAGGACCCGACACAGGTTGGGAGAGGAAGAGAAACTGCGGAGATGGGGAATCCCCAACGTTGCGCCTCCCCAATCCATACAGTGCCTTCCGGGCCTGAGACCCTGAGAGCCACGCCTGAGCCCTGGGACTTCGCCCTGACCCCGCTCCTCCTGTGCCAAGCGCTCTGTCTCAATGTCTCCCTGAGTCTCGGCCCAGGAGCTGCTGAGAAACCATAGAGAGAAACCCTCAGCATGGGCCCCGTCCTCCCTCCACGTTTCATCCCGGAATCCCCGTCCCTGAACTGGACTTCCTCCCTCCTGCTCCTTACCTGTCCCCCTGGACTCTTCTAGAAGAAAACTCACCCCAGGAAACTTGCTGCCAGAGAGTGAGCTCGCCCTGGGAATGGAGGTGTAGAGACAGGGTTTGTTTGTTTCTTCAAATCGGGAAAAATTTTGCCTGAGAGCATGAGATAGCATAGAGACAAGTTTGCTTTTTGTTTATTAATTACAGTGGGTAGCAGAATCTTGGTAACCCCTGAATGATCAGGAACCTAATCGGCAAAAAATGTGACTTTGGCCGATTGATATATAAATGTGTCTAAAAGCTCTCATCTGAGACAAGGCAAGAAAAAATAAACAAACAAACAAATAAATAAATAAAAGCATTGCAACAGGACTCACAAAGCTCCTGTTTCACCTTCCCAGACAATGTATCTGTGACTCCGGCTTGTTGTATTTTAAATTTACCTTCATTCCACCGCCCTGAGTTTCTGTGTGGGTCCAGGACATCTCCTCAGTACAAAGTAGTACACTGTGTTACTGTATGTTGCAACCAGGAGCCAGTACAAACTTCATTCACCTCACAGTCGCAAGTGCTCAAAGCAGTCACAAGGCCCCTCACCAGTGCTCATGCACTGCCTGTTTTTAGGGAGTGTCCACATCTAAGTGGTGTGTTTATTTTATAGGAACACAGTATTTTTTAAACCTGATTAACATAAGAAACAATTAGTCTTTAGGCAGACCTACAGAAGGTATTAAAGCCCAGCTGCAAAGAACACCCTGCTAGGCTCTGTAGATGGATGTATTAAAAATCTATAAAACAATGTGTTTAAAACTAAGAATTCTGCTTCTTTTGAATTTCTTCCCTCTGCTCCTTTTCCTCACCTCCTGCTTCTCCAGCCCTTCCCTCCATCCCTCTCATCCCTCAGGCCCTCCTCTCCCTTAGTCCCCATCACCCTGTCACTCCTCAATAGGGACTCTAGTACTGTCCCATTACCTGCTACATGAGTGTTCTCTCCACAGTGGTCCTGCTACTGTGAGTCAGAGTGTCTCATT